CGGATACGGTCAGCCACATCACTCGTGGAAAGAAGCACACCTATCGCCGGAGCGGCAAATGAGCTGGGCCGCATTCCAAAGCGGCGCCTGCTAGTCTCTGGCTCCATGCCAGCTGTGCGATGCTCATATTAGTTTGAAAGGCCGACGTCAGCACGCGTCCAGCTCTCCCTCTCTTCCCGCCGCAGACACGATACCTCACCACCCAATCTCCTTGCAATGTCATGCATGGCGCTTACAAACGCATGCACTGACTGACACCGGCAGGTTTTCGTGAAAACGAGCGTTCTAATGCTAATGCATTAAAAATCTCCAAGGAATCTCTCGCTAGACTGGTTCTTCAGCTAATCACCTGGAGAACTGGTAATCAAATATTTCATGAGCGTTGTTACACTTTCCTTGTAGGATAGAGGAATAGTGCATATATGCTGCGCGTCTCGGCCACAGGGGAGCAGTGGCCCATAATACAAAGATGCGCGATAGAGAACCGAAACTTAGAAACACGTCAGAATTAAGTTTTTTCGGAACGCCATGAAATGCTGCCCCTGCATTATATCTTTCTAAAATTAGTTGATTTAGTGGTTTTTCATGATGCTTAGCAAGTTTCTTATTTGAACTACAGTCATGTCTCATTAATATGGACCCCGTTAGTATGGATACCCCACTATATGGACACCCCTTTCGGGGGCAAACTGAGAAAATACATGCATTTTTGTCTCGTTAATATGGACAACCCACATTATGGATGATTTTGTACGGGAACGGAGGTTCCCATATTAACGAGACATCACTGTATACGTTTGTTTTTATTAACTAAAATTAGTACATTTTAGTTAATTAGCTCAACAGTATGTTTTCTGCAATTCCTGACATTGCCATGGCTGGCAGTTCGTTTCCAGTTTTTTCTCTTCTCAACCATCCTATTTTTAGGGATTTTTTAAATCCTTTGTTGAAACACCCGGTATGTAACATCTTTTATATGGAACATATATTGAATTTGTATTCAATAGAAAGAGCTACCCTAAAATACCAAGCATCCGCCCATTCCACGATAAGCGCCCACCACTCAATTTTGTGACATTCGAAAAATACACAAAGGACATACCTTTGCATACTGTTGACCTAAGGCCCCCAGTTTTACGTGATTATCTCCAAAATTTGAGTGGGCGCTTGTTTGGGATTTTATGGCAAGTTTGAGCCTTCCACTGATGTCAGTCATTTAAATATTTTAAGTAGGTAGGTTGCACTTAAAAACTTGCCAAACTTTTCCAAAAATCATCCAAGGGACACATGTCTTCAGCCACCTGTCATGAATCACATTTTTGATCACTAGCTATTTTGTTTTGAAAATACTGCACTAGGACTCTTCTGTGGGACTCCATATTTATTTATTTTAATGAATTGGGGAAAAAATATTTTTGAAGTGATTTTTATAAATGTCCAACTGTGCCCCTCTGAGGATTTTTAGCGAAGTTTGGCAAGCTTTTAAGTGTTATCTACTTAAAATATTTTAACGACCTTCACATCAGACAGAAGCTCTAACTTAGCTTGTTTTATTGACTACAAATTCAATATTATATGCCTAAAATAGAATACATGAAAATACATTTGAGTGATGAATGTTTCAGAAATCCAGCAAATGCAAAACAGATTTTATTGAAAATCCATTTTTTTATTTTTTTTATTTGCTTCATGTTTTATTTGTAGCAAAGTCTGATAGTGCTTTATCAGAAAATATAAACATGTAATATAGTATTTTGTTTGCGACCACAAGTAAAGCTTGAATATTGTCAGTTGTTTGCCGACTGCTTCCTCGCATAGGTGCTATTCTGGTCAAGAAAGTGGCATGGTATAGCTACGTAATATTAATACTTCAATCAACATGTAAGATTAAAATGAAGTTAAATTGCGTGTAATGCAGCGTAAAAAGTATTTTATTCCGTAACAAAGTTAATTAGCCGTTTTACAATGCACATCTGACAAGATTTAAGCTTGAATTACAGTCCATTAACAAAATACTATATATTATACTGATATTTTATAATAAACCACTACAATACCTTTCTACTAATAAAAAGTTAAGCAAATAAAAAATAGGGCTTTGACAACACCGATCCCGAATTTGCTACGAAACATTGGTTCATTCAAATCCATGTAACAGATTTTAATTTGTACCTATATTGAATTTGTATTAATTAAAAAGAGCTGAATTAGAGCTTTCAGTTGATGTCCAACTCGTTCAAATATCTTAAATAGAAAAAAAGTCAAATTTGGGGGTTTTACGTGCCAAACCAACGACGGGCATCTGGCTCGCCCCAGCGGAGGACTGAGGAATAATTTCGACCACCTGGGGATCTTTTGACGTGCAACCGAAAGCTCGGTTACGCGGCGCCTTCTCCGCAATAAGCCTCCGTCAGATTGCGGGCACCTCGGCTGGGATTCGAACTCGCCACATGGGGATCCGTAGGCAAGCGCTCTCGCCTCTGAGCCACCGAGGTGGCTCCATCACATGTAAGAACTTACCAAACTTTGCCAAACATCATCAAACGAACAGTTTTTTTTTTTTGTATAATTTAAAAATATAAGAATTTTTTTTCAATTTTTTAAGCCAGGGGTCTTAAACCTGGGGCCCGCAGGTAACCAGCTGTGAGCATCGGGCGCCCATTCCCATGTCTCAAGCGCTAGAAATGGCATGCGCCCATAATGATCTCATGCCGCCCATTCATTTCCACTCGAAGCGTAGCTCTGCTCTTATAATGTCTGACATAGTTTATACTATTTCGTTTTCATATGCCTTGTGTCTCGTTTTAATTTTTGCTTCCCAGATTTCTTCGCTCAAAAACCGACCTTGGCTGCACAAACTCTTGCGCAGCAAGAGAAACTGCCAAAGATAAACCTACGAGTTCGAGATTTTCACCTTCAAAAATTATCACCACTAAAGTAAAAGATTTTTTTTTTTTTTTTTTTAAATACTGCTATACATAGGTAATGTACACTTTAGCAGTTCCCTTGTGGAAAGGTCGCAATATGATTTTAAAACTGCCGAAGACAAACACAGCAGATGCATCACATCTTATTTTCACAAGCATATTTTCACAAAATCAATGCAAGAGCAAAGCTATCCGTGCATGTTTTCACCGACGTAATTTTGTCCACCATTTTTTTTTTTGTCATGAGCAGTCTAGCGTGTGCTCAAGGCAAGCATCCTGAAGATTCACATTACACTCTCAAATCGGTAGTGCACAAAAGCTGGTAAGTTTCATCGCGCCTTTTTTTTTTCCTTCCGAACAATACAACTTTCTTACACAATCTAACAATAAAATGGCGGACTGACGTCACGTGAAAACGCCCTATACGCTTTGACGTCAATAAGAATACTTCTCGACAGTCAAACAACACAGGGGGCAGTGGAAACTGCCACTGATCTCACAATGGCAACTGTCTTTATAATTTTTGAAAAGGAACAAGCACCTGCACTCTTGCAGGGAGGAACGCAGTTCAAGCAGAGGACACGCAGTGTCTTTCGGCCTCAGCAGCTGTGGGCAGCACAGACGAGAGGCAGAGAATGCCCTTTGTTGAGAAGCGCAGAACGGGAAACAAGTTTTGCATTTGCTTGAAACATTGTTGTATTTGTTATGTATGCTTGGCTTGAAACCTTGTTATATTTGTTAGGCAGACGGTGTAGTTTGTTTTATTATGACGAGTCCCAGCTTCTGGAACATTTCCGAATTCAAGGCAAGCAGTGCCAAGATGTAATTACTTGTGATTTCAAAGATCTTTTTTTCAAAGTATAATGTTAGCAGCCTTGTTTCCTTTAAACAATGCATTGTTAGTGCGAGGTACACCAGCCCCTCCCTAGCAAGCTTCTATGCACTTGTGACATAGAACTTACATTGAGCCCCACATTTTTGGGGTATTTTCCAAAGATCTCCATACATTCTGTTTTTGTTTCGAAAGGAAATCTTTTTTCCTTGATGAGTTGGGTAAATCTGAAAATTTACTAACCATTTTACTCATTCATTAATTAAACTCGAAACGACACGAGATGCACTCTCATTTGTTTCAAGTTGATGCGCAATTCCGTTCAGTGTGCAACATGTTCCAAACTCAATAACCACTTGTAGTGCACGCCCGAAATGATGCCAAGCGTAACACCAAACATACGCTAATCCCTCATGTATAAAAAAAGTCAAGCACATGAACCTGCATGCGAAATGTTTGAGAAAATAGAAGCTGCCCCCACTCTTTCTTTTTAACTCTGACATCTTCTTGGTAAGTCATGACGGCCAACTTGCTCACATATTGCTCCTCTCAGCATAAAATCAGCAAGCCACCGGTCCTAACCTATACTCCGTTTCACCTTACGTCTGAGCGCAGCTGATGCTACGAGCCATCGGAGCCAATCCAAGGCCATGCGAGTGTCACATGACCTTGAAGACGGGGCACAGAGCAGGATTGGCTAAAATAGCTCGTAGTGTCCGCCCAGTCTGGACTTTTGGTGAAACGGAGTCTAGCAGCGCTGTGTGAATATTCAAATAATTTGTTATTTGACATTTACTTCGAGATAAACTGTGATATTCATATTTTTGAAAGTGTTGATCGTGGCGGGCTAGCCCCGCTGAGCACGCTTCTTACCGAGCACAGGTGCACTGCAGAGAAGCAACATCTGCGGTGCTTCTTTCCTAAGCGTTGTTCCTCCGCAAGGCACCTGTGCTCGGTAAGAAGCGTGCTCAACGAGGCTAACCCACCGCAATCAACATTTAGAACAATACAAATGTAGCAGTCGTGTACATAGGAAAAGAGCACAACTTCAAAGCGGGGTGGTGCACGTACACCTGATATATTTAAAAAGAAAAATTTGTGAATATTGATACCTACATTAACTTAGCTTTATAATGGGCAATGTACAACAGTAGTGAAAGGCTTAAAAAAATATTGAAAATTCAATTAAAAAATAATTGGCCAAAACCCCAACGTATTCCCTTCGAATACAAAATCCACTATTTGCATGTGACTATAAATATTTTTTATTAAAACAAACAGCAAAACAGAGGCCTATCTAGAACAGTAACAGCAGAAACCCAAGTTCGATACACACTCTGCACCGGTGCTCAAAGCGTAGCACCAATCCAGGCTAGTGCAGCTGAGGCGTTTTCTAAGATCAGGTTGCACAAACAATTTTGCAAATCAAATGAGTCACTATACGTACAAACAAGAATAGTGCCTGTATCGTCTCCCCTCTTGTTATCCTGACCATTCAACGAGAGAATGTTACAATCACTGCTTTAGGGGAAGCTGAAGCACTTTCAATACAGTGCAATCCACTTATAATGATACCACATCTAACGATATACCGCTTATAACGATCAGTTTCTAGTCCAGATACAACGATAATCTGTTATAACGATTGCATTTTTGGGTTTTCTCATTCTCGCTATAAATGGATTGCACTGTATGTGGTAATTCACCAAAGTACCGAATAGGAGAAACGCAAAGGTGGAATCGACTTTGTGCTTTGTCTGCCAATGTCGAATGAAAAGGCTGCGAACACCTTGTCGACCCCTGTTATTCCCGTAGATCTAATATTCATTTGGCTCATGCTCACGGAAGCTTGATCTTACTCCAAATAAACTGTATTAGCCCGAGTCTGTTTGGCACTGAAAAACTGCCTTGTGCAAACTTTTGTACCAATAAGCCCATTGTAGAGTGGGCAGACGCACCTGTTTGCGTGATTGTATTTCATTCTTGCTTATCAATAATTCGTCAACGTTTCTGAATGCTTTTCGAGTCTAGGGAAGGTTTTGTACATCTTGAAAACCTTAGACTCAAGAACAAAAGGAAGAAAACACACACACCGGCCTCTTTCCAAAGCGAGTTTTCTACTTTCCGTGGCATCCTGTCGCCGCGCACGTTTCGAATGTGCACGAGGAAGTCTGCAGGCTTGAGCCGGAGATGCGGCAACTGAAACCCTAGCCTGTCGTTCTACAACTGTTGGCAACTACAAGAACGCAAATTCATGTTTACAGAGCGTATTTTAAAAGCATTTCAGCTTCCCCTTGTACGGCAAGGTACTGTGGATTTTTCGGCCCGCAGACTTTGGCGATGACACAAAGGATATGCACTTGCGCTGACCTTGCTTGTGCGGCGAGCCTCCATGGCCCCAGAATTTGAAGCCTCTTCTTTGCAAGGTTCTGAGCACTACCACAGGGCAGTGCAGCTGCGGTTGGCATAAGTGGGAGTTCCACGGATCCGCCTGCCTTTGAGCTGCACGGCTTCGGGCAACATGGCAGGAACCCTTCGGTGTATGCCTCGGCCTTCGGGAGTCCACGCACGCACCGTGGCTTCCTCGCCGTAGTTGAAGGTGAAGCTAATCCAGCCTGGCAACGAAAAGACACCGCACATTCTTACAGATCCTGCTTGTCAGATTGAAGGAAAGGTATTTATTGGTTAGAAACCAAAAATATCAAATAAAAAACTTAATTCCAAGAGCTCGATTGAATACTCAAGTGGGACCCTGCTGCATGAACTAAACGTCGGTATCTACTTGTATGCGCAGAAAGTTATTCCACATAGGCACATGCTGGAATACCATAATAAGACCCCTTTAAGAGCTATGCCCTCTTCTGGTAGAGCTGAAAATCCTGCCCATTGGCTTGTGCAAAGACTTTATTGAGTTGGCAAGTCCATAACTTCTATAATATTTGCATCAAAGCAAATTTCTGCAGTCCTAGAAGTGTTGCGTTATTCCACCCTACTGCAGTGCATCCAAAGCTTTCAGGAGATTCACCTATTTTTGAAAGGAGTTTACTACAAATTTCTTCTCTTTTCAAAAGCAACTCCGGTGAAGTTTTCCTACGAGGCAAAGTCAAAAAGTAAACGCAATATAGTATTGATCTGCACAATAATAAAGACAAGATTAAAAACGATTTGCTGCTTTCCAACACAGTTCCTTTCGTGTTCAACACATGTCCACCAACGCTTCACAAACCCATAGATGCCGCGGAAGAAAACATATTGCTGCTGACCCCGAAGCCCAGGGATGCACCACCACTTTCAGCTCACCTTATGTACAGAAATTCATTCTGCCAAGAACTGCTTAGAGTGTCCTGGAGAAATTATAATAGCTCTGTGCCAGGTCTTTTCATTATGGTGGGTGTGGAATGCACCGAGAATGTAGACCTTTGTAATTTTTCCGCTGTCGCATGCGCATTGTCGTGCTACAGCGATACACCAAAGGTTGGCAAACCATATCGCACTGACCTAATCACACACTTTAAATTGTTCTCGAGGAGGTCACAATACGACGTGCTCTTGACACTAAATCCCCTGGTGGTGTAATGTTCAACTATTGGTCTTTTATGATCCCACAAGACCGTGAGCAGAGTCTTGCCCTGCGTCGGAACATCTGTGGTATTGGCAGTAAAGTGTGCCTCCACTCTTTGCTTGCCTGCTTGGTCTCTGGCTGGGCATAGTGAATTCAAAATTCATCCCCAGTTGCAATGCACTGAAGAAAATCCTCTCTTTCAGCTTCATAGTGTCGGAGCAGCATCTTGCACACGCCCACACGGCACTCCTTAATGTCTGGCTTAAGTTGTCTTGGTACCCACCTGTTAGACACTTGATGGTACCGCAAAATATTATGAATCATGTAGTGCACCGTGCCACAATTAACATTAATTGACTCAGCCATTTCATTGATAGGGACATGGCAGTTTTCATGTACAAGCCGTTCAACTTCTGATATCGACTGCATCGTCATCGAAGTGTGAGCCCGGCTGGAACAATCAGTCAGACTTTGTTTTAAAATTTTCTGTACCACTCGTACACTCATCCAAGTGTTATACAGGCGCCTCCATACTGTTTCAACACCTTGCAATGAATATCCACAAACTTACTTTTCGCCCTTTGTACCCAAAACCCGGATTACTGAGAGGTGCTCCTCTCTGCTGCACGCTTTCAAGGGGGTGGCCATAGAAAAGAGGACACGGGGGGGGGGGGGGGCAGGGGAGGGCAACTTGGTGTCACAAATTTATAGATATGCAGTTGTTTTATACATTAACCCCAGTTAACCCCAATTTCTTGCCTGGCACTGAAAATAAAACTGAAAAAACACCCCCGAATTAGAAGGAAAATACCGAAAAAACACAACCCGAATAGTGAGGTATAATTTTTTCCTTCTTTTTCTCGTACTGTATTTGACTTTGTAGATATTTGGTCTGAAGAGTTTAATTTAGTGTGGTTATGGTGAAACAGAAACTACCGGCTAGACAGCGACAGCAACATCGGTAATCGGTTGTTATGGCAACAGGGGTGAACATATGCGATGTCACAGTCATACCGTGGTATGAATGTGAAGTCCAGCATTCAGCTTGCTCAGTTGTACCAGCATTTTAGAAAGACTGAATGTTAATCTTAATTTACTGCCTTGTTTCACAGATACCATATACACTGTAGCAAAGATTAGTGCATATTCATAGTATGGCTCTCTAGGACTCTGCTAGGGTCGCCAGCAGCCTATTTTTAGGATGTTCACCAGCATCCAAAAGGTGCTGCTGCAATACCAAACATAAGCAAAGGAAAAAAACATTTTTTTAAACAGCCTGGATGAAAGAAGGATGACATAAAAGAAATTTACAATAAAAAAAAAAAATTTAGAGCTTTATTTACAGTGCGAAATACATTTGTAGCTGGCGCCCAAGGAAGTTTGTGGAAAAGTGGCTACTAGAGTCACGTGGCTGGCCACTATAGTCACGTGGTTCTTGCACTCTTTTGGGCGCTTCCTATGGGCTCTAAAAGTTACTTATTAATCTTTGTTTTAAGTGCAAATGAAAAAATTGGTCAGTGCATAGGTGTACTATGCTGCAGAAATTTCCGTAGAACTATGCGTGGGTGGCACAAGAAATGAGAAGGAAGGTGGGGGGTTAATGCGTCGCTGAGTTGCGCTTGAGAGTACACAAACTGCTCGTGCCGCAGAGGAAGCTAGCTCGGCCGCTGTCCAGAGCGATGACCGAAGCTTAAGGAATCACAGCTGCCAGAGCAGCGTCTATCGCCGTTTCAATCAGACAGGAGTGCATCGCGTTGAAGCGAACAAGCCAGCAGATAAGAAATTGATACAGAAACCACCATTGTTGGTTGTCTATGAATTGCGATAGCATTCATTTAGGATAAACTCAAGGACGACGTCTAAGACGACGTCCAGGAAGACCTCTAGGGCGATCTTAAGGACGACCTCAAGGATGACGTCCCAGAGGACATCTAGGATGACCTTTAGGATAACCTCAGGACGACCTCAAGGATGACGTCCCAGAGGACATCTAGGATGACCTTTAGGATAACCTCAGGACGACCTCAAGGACGACGTTGAGAACACCTTCAAGTTCGTCAGGTCCTTCGAAGAGGGTGCAAATGTGAAGGAGTGTGAGAATGTAAGCTAAAATGGTCTACTGTGCATACCTAATATGCATTAGGAGGCCAGAGAGTCCAAGAAATCTGGGGGGGGGGGGGGGGGTAGCTAAAGAACGCTATAGCATTAAAAGGATGCGTGTGTGCAGTGCGCGGTTCTCGGCAGCAGGCATGGCATGCCATCAGGGAGCGCAGCTATGCAAATTGGTTGCTGCTCCGGTGTTATCTGTGCGACGTCACTTCCATGAACCAAGTTTTTGTGACATCGATCTCCCAACTTTGCACCCCCTTCCAAGCGCGGAGAAAGACATTGTTCTGCGTCAAAACAACATTAACCTTGCAAAAGACTTTTTTACTGGTTTTTTATTTGCACCGAACCTGAGCGCACTGAACGTAGTAACTTAGTGAACTTTTTCTTTTCTCGAAATTCGCTTTATTTTAAGTTATAGGCACATTAAAATTACAAAAACAAGCAAAAAAATAACCTTGTTCACGACATTCTTGGTCCTCTACCCCCCTTTTCCTGCGCCCGTGAACAGCGGTGACTGAGGAATGTGGGAAGGGAGGGGAAGACAGGGAAAGGAAGCGAGGTCGAGGAGAGAGAACCGCTTGGCTGACCAGGACCAACGTCACAATTTCGTCGCATGCCGCATGCGTTCGACACAACCCCATGGGAGGAGGAGGTTTCCACGTCATCCGGTTAAATTATGACACACTGATATTTAGTTACTTGCTCCTTGCCCACTGGGTTGCCCGAACAACAAGAGACGTAGAAACCGCAAAAAAGGTAGACGCTGAAATAGGATTGCAGGACTCCTTTTATAAGCAACTTTCAAAGCCCATAGGAAGCTTCCGAAAGAGCGCAAGCACCTAGCGATAGATCTGTGTGCCAGTCAGAAATTGACGGCGGCGGTGCGCCGGAGAGTTCCTTTCCAGCAGCGGCATGGAGAAAATTAGCTGAGTAATGATAATGATAATGACTTTTTTCATAATTTTTTTTTTTTTTTGTAAACAACTTGATAGGACTCATGAAATTTTGTAGTTTTTTATTTTAAACAATATTATAAATTATTTTCTATGTATAAAAAACAAACAAAAAACTGTTTAGCCGGCGGTGCCTTACACTCAGTGTGCGGCGGCGGCTTGGGGGTACTGGGGACTTCAACTTCAGCGCTGAACGGCTCTGGCATAACTTGTATGGGCGGCGGCGCACAGGTCCACTACGTAACTCCAGCAGGCGCCAACTACAAATTCGTTTCGCGCCGTAAATATAGCTTTAAAAAAATATTTTTTTGATGTAAATTTGTTTTGACATTTTTTCTCTATCCTCGCTGTTTAAAAAGAAACTTTTTTTCTTTGCATATGTTCTTTACGGCGTTAGCCACGGGACAAGCAGGTTCAGACCCTTAAAGGTATAACATGTTTTAGTGTGTAGTTACCAGGAAAACTGTTTACCAAACATAATGTCGGAAGCAATTAAACGAGCGACTGCGTCGAGCGATTGTGAGTTTTGGTTGTCCCGGTGGGCTGTCGTTTTGGTTGTTGTGGTGTGGTTCTTGGGAACCCCTGCAAAAGTGTTGGGCTCACCATGCAAGCAAGTGAAGGTGCCTCGTTTCTGTATGCTGACGTGGTGAGCACGCATCTGACAGAAGGGCTAGACACACGCACAACAAAATATCTGACAAGCAGTATGACACGTCAGAAAGCCCTAGACCTGTGCAAATTGCACACCGGAAAACTCTGAGGTAAAGAACCCCTATAAACGTGTTCCGATTCGTTGTACGAGTCGGCTGTTTTAGCGTCGTGCGTCTAGCGCTTTATCCCTCGTTTTTCACAATGGCAACTAGACGGGGCTCGTAAGGAAGGTGCCTGACTGACATGTGCAAAAGTGGCACGCTTGCAGCTGCTGATGGGATTCTGTCACCACCCCCCTCATCCTCCTCACTCCTCTCGCATTGTGCCAACTTTCCCAAGCTTACTTCGCGCATGTGTGGGGCATACTTCAGCAAAACACACTCATGAGTGCACTCACTCACCTCACAGGTCAGGTGTGAGGTGAGGATGAGAGAGTTCATAATCCTCGAAAACTCACGAGTTTGAGGTTGAGTGAAAAGCGTGAGTTCGGTGAGGGGCGCAAGTTCGGTGAGATTACGAGTTCAGTGAATTCATGAGTTCGGTGAGGGGAGCAAGTTCATGAAGTCAACGAGTTCATGAGTTTGGCAAGGCACAAGGGTCCTGAGGGTCCCTGGGTTTGACGAGGGTTTGTGAGGTGACGTCAAGGATGGGCGGGTGATGTGACTTCTCCATACACTTCCGGGGAAGTTGAGTCGATGCTCGCTTCACAATGGCACTGCTAGCTCGTACGGCTGGTCCTCTATGAGTGATAAGAAAGGACGAAAGGTGCCTATTAATTTAGCTGCGCTCTTCGGCTCCGGCTCGCTTCGCAACGGCTTGGCATGGTCTTTTGCCGCTGGTCGCTGCTTCGTGGCGGGGTGACGAGAAAGGGGACAGGGCTCAACTGCTCGCCTCGGCCGTTCTCGTGTAGACTGCGAGGCACCGATATACTTGCGGCATTTTTTTTATTTTCTGAAGGAGGCAAACGAAGCGCTACACCGGTATGCCTGAAGGCAGAAGTCTTATGCACGGTCGCTAATTCTGAAGCCAATATTAAAATGAAAACCGGCTGGGAACTGTCGTGATTCGCCTGTATACTTGTTTGTTCAAGTTGTAGCCTCGAGTTCTGTAAAAAAAAGTATGAATTCACGTCTTCGTGCTCGAGTACGCCCAAAACGCCGGACTTGTTCGCAATTGGGTTTAAAGGCTGCTACATTTATTTCGTAGGATATAAAAGTGGATTTGATTGTGGATTGTCATAAAAAAATTGCAGACAATAAGTTTCTAGATTACATTCGAAGAAATATGTTAATATTAGCGATAACAAATTGACGTTTCACCCTGCTGTCCGACACCCCAATAGTCGCTCAAAAGGGGGCCACTGAGCATAGTCGGACTGCTGGCTGCACCCGAAAATGCTTTGCGTGCCGTAGAAAGGGTCTTCTTACCAGCTCCAATAGTATTTAGATATTAGTTATGATTCCTATATATTATTATTTATTAACCGGTACAGCTCGCACCGGTGAACGTCCCGGTCATTTACGAGAAGTGCTATTTGTCTTTTTAGCAACATTTATATTTACTATACGAGTAAATAAAAGGGGGGTAGGGGGTAAGATCCAAATTGAAGTCATTAAAAAATATTGAATATGCGTGCATGCACGTGCGTGCAAAGAAGCAACCTTCCCTGCCCAAAGAAATTATGAGCGCCAAATTTTTGTATCTTACAAAACAAATCTTGACGAATTGTAGACCGTTTAAAGGGCAACTCTGCTTCATTTCTGTTATCAAAAAATCTATGCAGCCCTCTTCAGTATCATCTATACTCCATGTCACTAGTTGTGTGCAGTGCAAGCTAAGAAGGCAACGCCAGGCGAAGAGAGAAAGGGCGAGCAGTATATTCCGTGTCACTAAAACCATGCAGTACAGTCAAAGCTACAGAGAAAAAAGTGTATAACGACCTGTTCACGAGGAGGGAAAGGAGGAAGAATGAATCCCAGCCCTTTCTCTCCCGTTCCTCCTTTCCCTCCTCTTGAACAGGTTTGCATAGGCTCTTTCCCCTGTAGCTTTGGCTGTACTGCACAGTTTTAGTGAGAGGAGTATAGGAAGACCACGTGTCAAATGTTACGATCTAATTCTGTCTATATATTTATTGAACTGGCCAGCAAACTTTCAAATAAGCCAAGTTGCAGAAATATTCTAACTCTAGCGTGCGACATAAGGCGCAGTCAATACCACAGAGTTGGCGCAGCCAACATTGAGAGTCATGTCTACGTCATTCCCATGTTTTGTTTGTTTTTACTTCTCGGGGCGAAAGTGAACGATGACATCATGAGTTTCTCCTTCCGGTGTTGGCTCAACGGTGTCCACGTGATCACCGTAACATGGATGCGCTAGTTTGCGCTGCCCTGCACGCTTCTCGGAGCTGGGAGCAGTCTGTTTCGTCTCGCCTCTCCTGTAGTTTGAGAACTATGTTTTGTTTACGATATGAGCGCGGGCTGCATCTCTGATGCCTCGCTGCGATGCCTGGCGAAAGATCCATAGGGTCCCGAAGTTGTGTTGCTGCCTTCTCGAACTACCCCTTGACCAGCCCGGGAGTTGTCTTTCACATGTTTCCATGCAACACAGCGTATCTGAATGTATGGTTGGACATCCCGTGCTGGTGGAACTCCGGGAAGCCGTAGTCGCCAAATCGCAGGACAACAATCTGTTTTGATTGCTTCTGCTCATGACACTAATTTGCTGTTACGAGCTAACAACAGAAACGTGCATGAAAATATCAGTTGTGTTGTGGAACCAAACAAATGTGCACTGAAGCATACTTATGACGGCATTGGTAATTTCCACTGGCTATTTTGCTATTGACAACGAACGCGTAGTCTGCCGTACAGTTTCATAAAGGTACAGGAGAAACATGCACGGTCAAACGACGACCGCGTCGGTCGCACTATGCGCCAGGCGTTTTCCAGTGTATGAGTATATATGTCTCGCGCCTGTAGAAATTGGCGCGAAGACTCGACTATTTTCGGAAAAATAAACATAAATTTGAGGGTTTATGTGTCAGACCTACAAAGGGCATCTGGCACGCCTTAGCGGAGGCCTAATGATTAATTTGGACCGCCTGGGGATCTTGTGACATGCAACCCAGATCTCGGAGGGGGGGGCGTGAGTGTGCGAGTTCAGTCAGTTCATGAGTTTGGTGAGGGGCGCGAGTTTGTGAGTTCATGAGTGAGGACTTGAAGGTGAGTGCAGCCGTGATGGTGAGGGTGAACCAGTTTTTAACTTTTTATTTTGAGCTAGCTGTGAGCGAGTTCAACCAAAAATGCCGACCTCTGGCACGGGGACACGGCTGGCAAGCTGTCACAAAACGGTGTGGAGTGCGCAAAATATTTTTTAAAAAACGTTTTCTTTTTCTTTTTGTTTGCATAATATGCACAATTTTTTTCTGATGCTCGAAGTTAAAAATAAAAGGCGCGTGGAATTTGTGCGAGTAAGTACGGTACTCGATGCTACTGTCTAAAATAGGTTGCAAACAAAGCTTGTTCTCGTAACATTTGATTTTTTTACCCCATCCTCACGTAACACATCCTACAAATGTTTTTCGAGAGAGATAAGCTTAAATTTGAATGGGCAGGAGTGGGAATGGAATCCAGAATCCCTGGGTTCCACAGCACGAGCTTTTCCTGCACACGCCACCGGCTGCAGTGCCACTAACATACTCGGCCACCTTAGAGACACTGAACTCGAAAATACCATCCTTTTTAAGTGCTTACATGGGAACTGCTCCAAACTCAAAATGAGCCTCGCAACATAAATATTGCGCTTTTTTTTTTTTTTTTTTTTTTTCAGGGAGAGTTTATTTTGTGACCCATAAGAACTATCCAGGCACTTCAAAGAATGTTTTTTTTTAAGGGGAATTCAGTGTCGATAAGTTTCCGAATGTGCCCACGAGCACTACCAGCGCACCGGCATTTCAACTCACCGGCAGACGAGAGAACCACGTCTCCGCAGCTCGACTTCCAGCCCTGGCCCACGTAGGTGAGCTCCTTGCCTTCGAGGACGGGAAAGTCGACCAGCCGCTTGGCCGAGCCCAAGGGAACCCCCAGCATCTCCGTGCCCAGGTGGGAGCGATAGAACTCCTCCGCGTCGGGCGTGTCCACTATATGGATCGGCAGTTGAGGCGACGCAAACACTGTCGCATAGATGTGCCTTGACCGCTGAAAGAATGCCAGACACCTTTCACCGTCTCGTTTGGTTGCGACTTCCAGAAAATGAGATTTAGGAGTCAATGGGCTTCGGCTTGGGAAGCACAATACAAATTATTGTATGCTGCCTTTCCAGTGCCCCCATTCATTTTTGGGACTTTTGTACTCCATTGTGGAGACTGGGTGGACATATGCATGAACCTTCGAAATCATGCACAAAGTTTATTTTAATCCCACAGCTGTCGATGCTGTCTTCTCGAATGCTGGAAAACCGCAAAGACTTCCGGAATGCTCAGCGACTGTGTGATGCAAGCATGGTCCCCCCTCCCCCCCAATGCTGCCCATTCTCAGCATTGGGGAAGGGGAAAGCTCTCCCATGGCGTGACAAAACATTTCCAGACCTGATACGAGGACCATGCTGCGGCGCAAGTACACCACCCGTGACCACCGTCTAAGTATGAGTGCGTCGAAACATTACATGTGCTCGGACGGTGAGGAACTTACGGGCACTTGGAGTAGGTCTACCCTCGCAAGACCAGACAGGTAAAGCGTCTGGTTCAGCCTCAGCAGCACAGTTCTCGGAGTGATTATCTCTTTTGGCAGCACCTTGAGCAGCTCCTCCAATGTCAGGATGTCCAAGATCTGCGAAGGACAAAGAAACCTTTGTCCGCTTCTCTAGCGCAGAATTTCTCGACTACTAAAAATGAAGAAAGGATATTTGCAAATAGCAAAACGGTTTATAAATTCCTTCGATTTAGTCTAGCTGGGCACCTCTATAGGTTTAATTTGATGTAAAATGTGTCCTTTACATGCTATCTCAATGTAGGTATTGGACTTTGAGGCTACAGCCCATAATTATAGTTATATTAAAATTAACTGAGCTTAGAAATGAACAAGTGGAAGTTTGGGAACTACCTTCACAAGTTCAGCTGGGTTTTTGGTTAAGCGTGGTGCAGTAGTGAGAGGCTTGGAGAAACTATTCAAAATTCAAAGACATTAGTTTTCTGTAACTGGCGCCATTCAGCTTCACGAGTTCGACAGCTCCGTCAGCCGCCATTTCCCCATTGAAATTGTGAGAAAATCACGTTTAACTTTTGTATAAGAAAATGGTTTGTTCTAAAACTTTGGCACCTGGTTCAAACCACTAACGCTAAATTTGGGCAGAGAATGAGTGTTAGGCGATGCATGGTTTAATTTTGCAGTGAAAGACACCCCGTAAATTTTTTGGGGAAGACACCTGTAGAAGAGCTGGAGAATAAGTAGGGTTCCGTGTTTTCGGATAAATCCGAAAAAAAATCCGGAAAACGCTCGCCGGTAAATTTTCTGTCAATTCGAGTCACAGCGACAAAATAAACAGCAAAAAAAGTGGACTTTTACAACTAAACTTTATAAGAGCAGAAGGTCAGTGGTCCTGAGGAGATTTCACTTCAGTTTCTTTAAAATCTAGAACTACTGAAAAGAGGGGTTAGCCTTTTAGCACGTCGAGGTTCCTTCGGGACAACGGGTGATGGTACCTGGACCTCATTTATTTTGTTTTTGCATTTTGTTTTACCTTACGCAGTAAAATAAAGTCCAAATTTCAAAGGATTGGGAATCTAAGAAAAAAAAATTCTCATAAACCCCGAATTTCCAGCGAAAAATAAAGTCCGAAAAACGCCCTCTGAATTTCACGAGAAATAAACTCCGAAAACACGGAATCCTAAGAATAAGGCAAGCGGACGCAAGGGGCACTGTCGTCGTGGTGTCCCATTTCATGTCTGCTTTAGCTACCGTCGCCTGTCTGGCCGCAGAACAAGCTGTAGCAGAAGGGGCGTCTTCCGCATACACCTCCACCACCAGAATCACAACAGGCAACTGCATGACACTTCGATAAAGTCATCAGGCAGAAATTGAGGGATCATAAATAAGGATGCAGTCAACACAGCAGTCAGAGAAGCATTCTAGGTCTCTGCTACAAGAACTCCCAAGCTTCCCGGGGGCTGTGAAGAAGACAAGTCCCATAGTAAAACATTGGCTTCCAGCATGAGGCTAACAGCTTCTGCTGTTTTCATGTTCTGTAACAAGCTCGCCTTAAAGCTTATTCCAAGTATACTCGAAAGAAAAGGTGTGCTAAGTTTAAAACACCGCTATCACAGGTCCTTTAGACACTCATTAATTAAAATACTAATGGAGCAAACTGTATTTTTATTTCAAGTTGCTCGTATTAAAAAATTGTCCTACTCTAAGCAGTATAAACAAAAACAAAGTTGAGTAAGCTTGCAATGCTGGTAGAGGCTTTTGAGGTACTGCTTCTAAAAGCAATGACATATTAAAGATTTAATTTTGTAAACTGACTACAACTACAGTGAAACCCGTTTAGAACGAGCCCACATACAGCGAATTATTGTCGATATCGAACTCGCGGAACATTTAAATAAAAATGGATGTAAAAAGTATGTTTTATAACGAAAAACATATTGGCTATATCAAACTTTTTCCCCGGGAAGGCTTCCAAAATGCGCAAACAATCGTCTTCTAGCCTGTCCCTTCCCCAAAAAAAGAAGCAGGAAAGAAAGAAAATTCAAAAAGCTCAAGTTGCGAACAAAGTTGAGCGAAGAGAAGCAATGCAGAAGGGGAAAAAGCTAAAAAATACACTCTGCATACACGCAAAAAAAGACAAAAAAATTCATCCCAAAGCGTTTGCCCACGAAGAGAAGCGATTCAGAAAGAGAGACGAGCTAAAATAAACTCTGCATGCGAGCAAGAGAAAAAAAATCTTTCTAGCGCGTTGTTACAAGGCGGAAGTCAAGAGATGAGAAAGAGAGGCTCTCGCCTTACAACAAACTCATCGTCGAAGTTTGTTGTAAATGTTTTTTGCTATATTGAACTACTTGCTATATCGAACTGATCATAGCGTTTCCTGCTGTTTGCTATAAATGGGTTTGACTGTACTTTAAAAAAAAAAGAAAGGTTATATTTGTTCGACCCTCATTAATTTGGAAATTTGGGTAATTCAAACTGCCTATCAAGTCAAAAGCTTGTTAGTTTGGTGGAGGTTTAATGTGAAGTGGTTAATTCAAACTAGCCCCAAAAACCTCCACCATTTCCCAGACCAGGTCACCGCAATGCATTTGAAGGGTCCTCACGGTGCTGATCATTATGCTTTGTTACAGCGAACGTGCTGGCATAAAGTGCAAATGCAGAGTTTCAAAGGGTTACAAGGCACAGTGAGTGCCATGATGGTGATAGAAACTAACCGAGGTAGAGACGACGCTAGTGTGCAACCAAAACAAAGTGCCGGAGCATGAATCATTATCGTCAGCTGCCATGTATAGTGGTGCAAGATACCGCCCAATATAATGGGTATAGCCACTAACATCCATCCTTCCATCATTTTAACGTAAAACATTCTTTTGCTAGTTGCTCCCGATTTTGTAAAGCCGCATCTTCGTGAAGCCTAGGCCTGTGACACTACAGTTTCCCCGCTAGTTTTAGCGGGAATATTGACGTCACATGACCTACACATAAATTAAGTTTACCTGCTAAATTTAGCGGGAAAATTAACAAGTGACCGGCCACAGCCCGTCATTCCCCATTCTCTGCGGACACAGGCCGACCTGAGAGGGAAAGTCAATGGGACGGAGAGGAGACAGCTGGAGGCACAGCTCGAGAAGAAATGCCCGGAGGTTACTAGCGCTAAACCAAGAACATTTCATGTAGCAACAGAAGCACATGAACAATTATGAACACCCCATAACTTGACACCTAGCAAGTACAGGACCATGAAACTTTGCAGTTACTCTTGTGATGGTGTTATGAACATACCCTGAGAATTTCATTGTGATATCTCTAAAAATAAAAAAAAAAGTCTGTTTCCTGGGGCCCACATCCTTCCTTAAAGATTGGGGGTTCTTTTCCTGATGTCTGCGTTGTGTCATAGTCGTCAAATTCAGTGTTCTCTTCCCCTCTGCTCTTGACAACCTGAAAACTTTTCTACCAGAAATAAACTTTGTTTAAACCTTAATATATCTGTTCATAAAGGCGAACCTGCCAGGCATTTTTCGGCACTGTTTAAAATCACTTTTCTTTGTGGGTGTGAGGAACAGCAGAAAAGATTTTATTAGGAATGATCCACAATAGGCACACAACCAAAGTTCCAGATAATCCTCGCAATTGGCTTACTTGTCTGCGATCACCTGGAAATAGAGAAGCAGCAGTTCCGAAGAGCTACGAGGGGTTGCCCTTTTTCTGTTCTCTTTCACATGTATTTCATGCTGTCGTGCCCCATGCCTCGTCATAATGCAACTTGCTGGCTGTCCCATGTCTGCTGACTGATAAGGAGCATCAGTCATCAGCCAGACAGGAATGTTTCATACTTCAGATGAGGACAGCCCATTGTGTGTACACATTGTTGTGACACACTGTAAGAGAAGCCGCAGAAGCCTTTGCTGTGTCACAAATTTGCAAAGAAACCTTAACATTACACGCATGATAGAGAATTTGACCAAGTTCAGAAAACTTGTCATCACTGCACAAATTTCATCAGAAAAGCAGGCAACCCTGACACGGCTTATTACAAAATAAAGGTAAGTCCCAGAAGGAATATTTTGTATAGTTTTCTTCGCTCAATCTACACTCCGACTTTTCGATAACTCAGACATTTTTGTCACTCCTGTGAGATTAGAATTAGCCACGTTTTACTGCATAAAACATTTGTCACCTAATGACGCTATACAGAACTCATATCCAAATTAATAAGCGTATGAAAAGATTGTTCACGCACCAAAACCACCAGAAAAAAGCAACAGCAGATCATAGCATGTTGCAGTTTGTCTCCACGGGTTAACTCCATGTTAGCAGGAAATCCAATGTTTCGTTACAACAATATGAAGGCTGAAACCGACACCAGAACGTTTGTTGCACATACCTGATCTCTGTAGACAGCACCCGGTGTGTCGTAGCAAAAGTGAGACCGCTTGAAGATGGAGGTCTCGGAGTTGTAGGGCTTGCGAAATGCAACCGTTTCAGAGTCTGAATTCTTGGCCTTGAATGTCATGCCAATCCTCCCTGCAGTTTAAATGCCTTACTATGAAGGTGACTTCACAAATTTCCAAATGACAGTTAGCAGAGCTAGGAACATACCAACTATTTTCAGCACAAGCAACGAAAGTTGATTTTGGAAGAACACCATGTTCCAGATTTATAAATTCGATAAGCTGTAATTCATTACAGAATAACTATATGCATTACTCCAGCTACAAAGAAGCATTGTTTTTATTTTTACACAAACAGAGAGCACGCCTTTATCAAGGGTGCTTGGCAGAAATTGTCTCGGCTCTACAACACAGGTCGGCTTGCACCCTGAAGAAAATCGCTCCTAGGCAGCCCAGAAGGTTCTATTTAATGCAGCACAGGTGCTGCATGACACAAAACGTCACGACGCAATGAGCAAACTTCCACGTGTGAACTAAAAAAAAAACAGCCAGAAATGGCACGGGTTGACGACGCGCCAACAGGTGCGAAGCACGATCTGCCATGATCTTGAAAACAACCCCGGGTCACTTTTTGGACCGAGAGACACTGAATAAGTCACACTCCAGACTAACAACACTTCAGCCATCTTGGTGCTCCAAAATCATTGTTTCCAGTTACCAGAGGCGTACCAGGAATTGCAGAAAACGCTTTTCCATCCTCCAGAAATGTTTGAATAGTCCCGCAACAGAGCAAAACGACACCATATCTAAAGTCCAGAGCGTCGTATTTTCTAGTCTATAGCCAATTGTGCTTTGCATACGGTGCCCACGAGGCAGGCAAGGAATGCAGCACCAACACTCCAAGCATAGCTTATTCATTGGCCCTGGCTGAACCTCTGCAGGGTCGCAGAAAGCAAACGAGAGTGATGAGCCAACTTGCCAATGAGCGTGGCATATTGGGGCTTCTTGGTCGTCTGGTACATCTGCCTGCGATGGGCCAGCTCCTGTTGCAGCAAGGCTCCGTCCCTGGCCAGCCGCTTGAGGCGCAGGTGCAGGCGCCAGCCGGAAGGCCGCATGACGGGGAACTTGAGCAGGTTCAGAGTGGTGCCTGGAGCACACACAAGCAAACGTCTCCAACTGACCACTCGGACTGTCGGAAAAGCACCGCTAGTCCGCGACATGAGGGGACAATAAAACGACGTGCAAGGGCTAGCAACACTTCAATCTCCTGTCGTACCTTCCAAAATACACTTTTCGTGTGTTTTACATCAGCCCTTGTCCAGGGTTCGTACAGGCTTCAAAGGAAAAAATTCAAGGATTTTCAAGGACTTTTAAGGGCCTGTAAGGATACTTTCAAGTACCCCTTCCAATACTCTATTTAGTGAACAAATAATGTAACAACTTTTTGAAAGGAACTGCAAAAATTCTTCCTTGCACGATTCCTAGGAAAAGGCACAATGGCCAAAAAGAGATGCTAGTGAAGGGTTCAGTAGAGCTACTCCAGCTTTTCCTTGACTTCCTGCTTGATGGTTAGAAGTTCTTGCATTTTGGTTTTAACCGTTTTCCTTAGGCTGTTCGACTTGACAATGTAGGTGATGCCACCTGTTGCCTCTGCTTTCTCAGCGAAGTGATTCACTGAAGCTGTCAGATCAGCGACCATTGTAGCTCGGCGCTTAACGGGCATCTGATAAATGTGTCTAAATATGCCATATAAGAAAACTTCCTGGGTAGAATTTCAAAATTTATGTTAACAGAAATGTAAGAATAATAATGATATGTTATTATTGTAACAAAAAGTAATTACTGAAAAAAAAAAAGGCTATTATGAGGAAATTTTAGGGTTTTTAAGCACTCCCAGGGTTTTCAAGGTCTGAGAATTGCCACTTTCAAATTCAAGGATTTTCAGGGCTTTCAAGGACCCGTGCGAACCCTGCTGTCAAACGGCACAGGGCTGAACAATGGCCCTCCAGCATTACGTGATGATTCCACGTCTTTCAAATATTCTTTTTTTTTAGGGTTTATCGCGTAGGGAGCAGAAATAAAGGTGTGGTGCCTTACAAGGTGTCTGCCCCCTAAAGTGCAACAGCTCAAGATAGTTACATAACACCAATACTACAAAACATTACATGACAGTTCAAAAAACTGATCAAAGCAAAAAGAAAGTATCCCTTATATCAGTACACTGTCAGCACCAGTCTTGTACATGTTACTCAAAAAAGTAATCAATTACAACTACAATTACACTTGGTTAAAAAAGTATTCAATTTATCACTTGATTACTTCAGAGGAAAAGTAATTGGACATTACTTGAAAAACTAACCATCACCCTTCCTATTACTTCAGATTTTCAAAATGGAAGACATTTCTGCCAGTTTGAAAACAGGCACCGGATGACAAACTGCTCATCTTTTCAATCCACCATTTTTGGTAGACCGTTCCCCTGTCGGAGGCTTTTAGTTTCGAGAATTCCGTGGTAGGAAACTTGTGGACACAAAGGGTGCCATTAGAAAGGGGAAAAGCCAATTCGTATGAACTTGGGGGCGAAAGATAAGCCACAATGGGAAAAAAGGTTTTGGGAGCTCTATCTGTCACAAGTAGCTAAAGGGAGCAAACAGGATATATACTCTGTCTCACTAAAACCGTGCAGTACAGCCAAAGCTACGGGGGAGTGCACCCTGACCTGTTCAAGAGGAGGGAAGGGAGGAATGGGAGAGGGGGGGGGGGGGGCTGAAATTCCCCCCTTCCTCCTTCCCTCCTCTTAAACAGGTTGGCATACGCTCTCTCCCCTGTAGCTTTGGCTGTACTGCATGGTTTTAGCGAGACGGAGTATAGCTTCGTCGCCTGAAGGAACGTTCGCACTCGATTGTTCCACGCCCACCTAATTTGCACAGAAAAGCACTCAAAACTTGAATTCAGAAAATTGTGCATTCTTGTGGAATGCCAAACGTTTACTATCACACCTTAGCTGTGACATCATTTAGTATTGGATATCTGGGGGGGCTCCAGAGTGTAGAGGTGCTTTCAGCCTAATTAAGGTGTTTTTTTTTTTTTTTTTTTTTTTTTTTAAGGGAGGCAAGAACAGTTTGAAGTGTGAATAAAGATGCAAATGCTACATTAACCATCAACCTATGTACTAAAAGGCTTTTCTCGACAAGTCAGACTTCACACTGCCAGCTTAAAACCCAACAGACCGCCATATAAACTGGCCAGACAAAGAGCCTGACCTTCTTTCACACAGCTCGGTAACAATTGTTTCATTCTTTGTTGTTCGCGAGATTTAGAAGCTGATAACGTGGTCATATCGCAGCAGTTTTACTTCGCAAGTAGTCATAAACTTGGAAACCAAGGGGGGGGGGTACTAATGGTTACAAGTAAGGTTATTACTTCTAAAAGTAATCAAATTACCCTCGTGATTACTACCTAATAAAAAATATTAAAATAATTAGCAAATTGCTCCAAAAAGCAATCAATTACAAGTAATTTGATTACTTGCAATGAGTACCATACAAGTCTGGGACTCAGGACTTACTTGCGTAAAGCCAATCTCACTGACTTCTGATACTTCAAGAGCATGATCTACAAAAACAGAGCTCAATGGTACAAGATAAATGCAGAGGACACTCTCTGATCCCAAGTGCCAAGCACCAAGTTATGCAAGGATGAAGATGGCAAATCCCTTCTGTATATGTTTTCTTGGTAGGCGAGTCTTTTAGACCAAAACTGCTCCAAAAGGTTTACTCAACACTTTATGCCTCATTCAATCTGTGAGTGCAGACTATACCGAAACACATACCGGATGCTATTGGGCACGCATGAAACGCAAAATGCGGGACCTTCGACACACTACCTGGAAGCCCCTGGGAACTGATAAAACTGCAGAGCGAAGAGTGAGGCTGCGAGGGTGCGCGTTTACTCCGATGTGCACATCCTCACAGATTCGCGTTCCCCTCCACAGTTTGAGCAGCTCCCAGTGGCCTCCAGGTAGTGCAGCATGTATGTATTGAGGGGCCACACGATCGGCAGTTTGTGTTTCATTCATGCCCGATAGTTAAGAGTTTCGTGTTTTCGGATAAATTCCAAAAACACTAGCCCAGGGGTGGCCAGAGTGACATGGGGTTAGAGCCGCAGACAAAACTACAAAAATTCAAAGAGCCACATGGAAAAAAAAAGGATAAGTATAATTATTCAAATGGGACCAGTATGACTGTCGACTACAACAAATAACACGAGGCAGCAGAACATTTCTTCAACCGCCAAGCAAAAATGAATGCATGGTTCGCTAGCCAGTCACTTCCGCTGATGCCCGTTACGGGTATACGATTCAAAATTATTTCCGGAACAATAATGGAAACAAGGTCACTGGACACATCCATGTGTCAAGAAGTAGTCCAGCTGTATGTACGTAGTGTAGTACAAAACTGCCAAGACTGTAAACTTTTTCATTCTTTTTTTTTTTTTATTCTAGAATCTTTTTTGCTTTGGGGGCACAGAGGAGGAAGAGGGGCACACTTAGTAGGGAGCCGCGAGCCGTACTTGAAATCGCGCATGCGGCTCACGAGCCGTAGTTTGGCCACCCCTGCACTAGCCCGTAAAATTTCCGTCAATTCGGATTTATCTGAAAAAGCTATGAGCCCATAGATTTCAATCGAGTGGGAGGGCTGCTGAAGCTTGCTTGCTTCCCAGTGACTACATCCAGGAGTTTAATTATTTCAAAGGATCGATTGTCATTGAAAAAACATGTAAAAACAAGCAATACAACAATGCAAATAGTTATGTTTTTGGTGTCAAAGGCCCTTCATCAATGTATAAATAAAATTGCAGTCATACCTAAAGCAAAAATATACTTCGATTATCTGAACTGCTAACTGCTCACATGATACAATCCACAATTGACTCTTCAGAGAGGTGCGTGCTTATTGAGCTGCATGCCGAATCCGCAATGCGGTACTCAGTGCAAGCTGCCCTTCTCGTGACCACTTGCGGCATTAGCAGATTTTTCGCCATTAAACCCTTTATCATTGTATCCTGGTGTCTTTAATAAACAAACAAGAAAAAAGTAAACATATTTCCAGAGTTGTCATTGAGTGTGCTCCCTTCCTGCTGAAGTTACACCCGTACACAGCCTGCATAGATCCTCCTCACCAAAATGAACAGCCCATATACACATTGTGACATGCAGCTTTGGAAGTTGTATTACTGAAACTTCACGCACACAAACAAGTGCTAGTACCACATGGAATAGTTACTTCACTCTGTATCAGAACTTGCAAGTGCCGTGACAGCAAGTGGAGCAGAAAATGTGACTTCAAAATAATGGGCATCCCACATATTTTTTTTTTCATGCTACCCCACTGCATATTACCTAGTTTCGCAAGATCATTTTGTACCCACTTAGCCACTAATGGGCCCGACTCACCAGGCCAGACTGACGTGGTAGCTCGCTGAATCAGATCCGAGGCATTCTCTTGGCACAGGTCTGATTGAAGCAAAGCATTGAATAGTGTTGACTTGCCCACATTGGTGCAGCCAATCAGGTAGATATCACCTGCAAAAAACATTCCCAGTCTTTTCAATTCAAATGCAAAGAGGTGACTGACATATATGGCTGTCCCAGCTTTGCTTCCTACATAGTTGCTATTGTCCGTGTTTTGTGGTTCCACTGCACATTTGTTGCAAAGTGCCAAAGAATTACATTACGAACGATATGTTGGACACCTGATGTAAAAACCTGAAGCATAGGCTGCTAAAGGGATTAGAACACGAAAATTAAATGGGTAGATTATTCTTGAAATGAAATGCTCATGTTTCATGATTTTTAGAGCTCTAGCAATTGCAATAATTAATTTACAAATGATTGTTTTCATGTGGCGAACAGGCAACAGTGCCCAAGTTAGTCACACCATGGTGCCCATAAACCATGTGAGCATGATATTTTGTTGAATGCCCTCATTCTAGGCCGATCATACACTCTCACGATATTCCGGTACTCTTGCTTTCGCCCCCTTGCCCTTCCACCCTGCATGCAGGTAAGAGGTCTCGACAGTGAGTTTGTCTGTGACCACCTCGTCACTGGAGCTGGTCGCCATAAGTCAAAACGACCAGCTTCCAACATCTCTGAAAGCAATACCTCTCATTGCAGCTGCGATGAGTGTCCAAGACTTCGACAAAGCGAGCGATGCCGTAGACGTCATCGTCTCGAAACCGCATGCTCAAAACACAGAAGGTAAACGAGAAAGCTGAAGCGTAAGACGCCGAGAGTAAGGTCTGCGAGTGCATGCAAGGGGACGATGCGCACTGGGCGAATGACGTCGCCAAACCACCAACCATGACGGCTTTCCTGAATGGGGTGGATTGAACGGTCCTGCATATAAATATATTTATCAACAGAACTATTGCGCCATTTGCAACAAAAAAATTAACATACAATGGGTCCTAGCGGTGTAGTTATCATCTCACATTTTATTTTTGACGTGTCCTAACCCCTTTAACACCCTCTGTTTGGGTGGGAACGCACTCGAGGGGAAAAATATGGGTGCCAGAATCAACATAAGATTAGTTTCATTCTGTATTTTTCAGGAGTCTAGTTTTTTATCACTTCTGTAACAAGATTTGAGAAAGCAGTGTATGTCGGTACTTGACAAACATTGTGAAATGGGTTGCGAGAAAGCTGTTTCACCAAAAAGAATAAAATATACAAACGGTTTATTCTCTGTTTATTTAAAAGCTAAATATGATTAGTAACACAGTCAATTGGATTGTCCAATCAGTCAACACAATGAATGGAAATTAAATAGTTTGTCTAAATTCCATACACCACAAATTTTTTTTTAAAAATCCATGCTCTGCTATATGTGCTCAAACCATTTGGTGAGATCTTGTTTGAGTGGCGGTCAGTAATGGAAACCAAGTGCAGTCCCCAAAAGAAACGAGCAGGCATTTATATAAAATACTCCACCCCCATCTTGGCTGCATTATAGTGCTGCACTTTCACAGTTTCTCACTGTGATCACCAAAGTCTTATTCACAAGAGAGCACCCTCACCTGTATGCCCTTTTTATTAAAAAGTACAATAACTGGCTCCAAAAGCTATATTAGATGAATATCTTAGAACTTTGTTCTTTTAGATTCATTCTACACTCATTTCTTGTTATGTGTGCAAGGAAGAATATTGCTCTTCCTTCTAGAGCACCCCTGTAAGTAAGGGCATATTTTTTTTCGCTCCGAAGTCTAATTTCCTAAACAACCGAGTACAGTGGTGATTTGGAGAAGGTGGAGTTGAATTTGCCCCTCAGTTACAGCAGGGAAGTTAGGTTCTGTGTGACGATTGATTAATGATTTTCTTTTTTTGCTCAGCATTTATTTTTAAGATGGTTCGGCATAGCAAAGTAAACTTACCGAGATTGAATCGGCATCAGTGCTGTCATCTTATGTTGGCGTAACTCTAACATATACAATATACAAAAATGGGATATGTGAAGGTGCCAACTGTGGTGCACAAAAACGCTCATAGCCATGACAGTAAAGAACACTATTGCAAATACTTTCGAACGTCAGTATTTAGTACTCTAACTTAAATTACTGGTATCGCTGTGGTGACACAAAATACGACCCCAGCCGAAAAATTACGTCCGGGGGACGCCGCATTCTCAACTAATGCCGATGATAAAAATGCGACCAGCAGTGAGCCGCTGCGCCTTAGCGGGCGGTCAGCGGGTTGCCGATCGCTAAAGCAACATTGGGCCGTGACGTCAGTATCGTTCTCTTTTTTTACTCCGGCCCGGGCGTTGCGCGGAGTGCTCTTCTTTGGGCCGCTACCACCGCCACTTCGGCTTGTGATTGGCGTGTTTAGCCGCTGTTTTTATCTGTAGCCAGTGTAGCTTCGGTATAGCCGTTTGTTTATTTGCGTGCGAGGGCTCCAAGACTCGTTTTAGCGAGCAACTCGGTGCGCCCAAGACTGCCCAGCTGTTCCTCGAAAGATGCCGAGTACAACTTGTAGCGCTGTGGGCTGCTCAAACAACCCGCTCCGTAATCCGGAGGTGCTTTTTCACAAATTTCTAACGGACCGGAAATCGGAGAAATTGTGGGTGAACGCTGTTCGATGAGTGGACTTTGGACTTCGGCTTTTACGCGCCCGAGGAAAAAAGAATGAAAATACAGGCTTGTACAGCCCAGCACACGTGTGTTCGGGCGCCGCGGCCCACGCCGGAGAGCCTCAAACCTTTGTGTCTGGGATTGGACCCGCAGCGCGAAAGCGAGAGGGCCCCCAGTAGTGTACGTCACTGGCAGCGCGGCGTAGAGCAACACCGCTCCATTGACGGGAGCCCTGATGACAATTTAAGCTTAGCGACGAGTACGGAAGACCACATGCACGGCGACAGCCGTTAAGTATGGCACCGAACGAGTTCACTCGTTTTCCAGTCGCAAGCTTTTCGGTATACAAGCGACGAGTACGGCATGGCGCACGCACGGCGGCGGCCGTCGAGTACGGCACCGAACGAGTTCACGGGTTTTCAGTCGCTAGCTTTTGGGTATACGCACTAACTCTTGCTACATATGCTGGATAACTACCACGTATACAGAATTAAAACAAAATCAGCTTACCTCCTATCTTTAAACGGCCAGCGCAACAGGGGTAGGTGCCGCTCGGCCATGCGTACTCGTTGAAAGAGAACGATCCTGACGTCACGTTCACATAGCGGCTGATTTCCAGTGTTGCCGGGACCTCGAGTGGCTAGTTTCGGTTTTGTTGGCCGCGTCCCAAACAAAACTTTGAGGCGTCGATATCTTTTAAACTAAGCACAAAAATGAGAAAAAAATTACACCTTGCAATTCAGGGACGCTGACTGCGCTAAAAACAGTCATAATCCCAAAATCGAAAGTATGGACCGGAGTTGCCCTTTAAATACTTTTTCAAGTAACTTGTACTCACTTTAAAGTTACCTTTAAGTTACTTTCTATTTTTTTATTTTCTTTAGAGGCGGAAAGCTTGGAAAATATTGAACTCCAGTTATTTTGGCTAGGCGCCCTGCCATTGCAGATACATTTCGTGCCAGGTAATACAGTGCACTTCCGTGCAAATATACCCCCCCACTCTTCACAAACTCTTTCTTCGGCACAATGTCGCAGTGCTTTCGAGTGCGTCTGTCGAATGGCTATTCAGCATCGGCGGACATGTGTTTAAACAAAAAAAACAGGGGCAGACTATCGGACACGAATTTCGAAAAGCAGCTGTTCCTGCGAGGGAACAAAGCTTTTTGGTAATGGCATTTTGATTTTCATTTTCACAAGTAAATAAAGGTTGATTGAATGATGTTTTTATTTTTGTTTCATTCATAGTTACTTGGGAACTCCTAGAAGCCTGAGTGGCAGCCAAAGTCTAGCTAAGAAATTTTCAGGAGATTCCATAGTAGCTGGGAGGGAGAATTTTTTTCTGACTTCGGTTGTGCTTGACAATGAATTGCAGAGAAAATTGTAACTTGAGAGTATCTTGAAAGTAACAAGTTAATTTTTTGAAGTATTTTGTACTTTACTCAATTACTTTACAAATCTGAGTATTTAGTGGTCTACTCAGTTACTATTTTTCGTGGTACTCAGTAACTTAACTTAAATACTTTTAGTGAGTATCTTGTACAAGCCTGGGTAAAACTCATTATAAACCATACTTGTTCCATTATGTCTCTGTTATCAGTGGGTTGTTTTAGGCATTTCCTGTCATTCTTTGTTAAATTTTTTTGGGGAGGTCTCCGTTTTTATACGCAGACAAAACATCTTTCTAGACCGAATATATTTTATAATGTTCTTGTTGTAGTTATACAAGGTAGGCGTCAAAAATGGTTTCCATAAACAAAGGTCTTGAAAAAAAAACAGCACACTCTAACACGCTTCACAAATTTATTTAAGCCCTTGTGTGAATCAGAATCATTATAATTATTACGAGGGGTAGGACAAAACTTTAAACCTTTAGTAAGAACTGTCTTATTTTAAGAAAGGGTGTAAAAGAAAAAATTGAAAATGCTGAGGCCTTCTTTAGTCATATCTTGAGAATGTTCTGGTTTGCTAGGTTCTTGGTTTCTGTTTGTTAAAACATGTTAAAACTTTTCCATTTTTCTAAAAGGGGCGAGAAAAAACAGTGCAATTTTATCTCTGTCTACCCCTTACCATTGTTTAGCAGAGTCCCTCCTTTTTTTCTTTTTTACTCTAATGTAATGAAGGAATTTTTTAATAAGGTATAAAGCCACCTAAAACCTAAATTTTTTCAAAAATACTAATTCTATGATTTTTGTTTTATCAACATATTCATACATTTCCGAATATATTGCTAGGAAAGGCATGCTTCTGCCTTATGCCATTCTAGAGATATTGGCCACTCCAACGAAATCAACGCCGCGTAGCGCCAACGCCGAGAAGCTCAAAAGAAGAGGTCGTTTCGACTCTGTCGTCCGCTTTTGCTGCTTGGTCCTTGTAGGCAGCATAGAAACAAACATTGTTTCCGGTAATTATTTTTATGCTTCCGCCGTGTCATTCCTAAGCACCGACTAAAAGGTT